TCGCAATGTAGCAGTCTGCATTCGAAGGAGGTGGTCAGCACCACCGACGACGAGCATGTGAAGATCAAACTCACATGGAGCTTTCCAATCCATTCCACGCAATCCACTCACACCACCATGAGCTGAAGCCAACGTAGACCTTCGGCGAGCAGCAATTAGAGCCTCTTTGAAGGCGTTGCCATCGACTTCATGCTTCGAACTGGTTACCGGGAGGAGGGAACAGCGACGGGCGATGTTATCAAGTCCAGTACCAAGATTGTCTAGACGACACATTCCTCTTCAATAAATCGCCATACGAATGACACCGGAACTCACTAATTTACGCTTAGAGTAGAAGAGTTGTTGCACTTCAAAGCATCCCATCCTACCATTGGAGAGGAAACAGAGTTGGTGCCTTTTCGATTTTTCGATACAACTTATCAACCGTTGTATTCCATGTCACATGGAATGTGCTCCTAAATAAGTCATTACTTAAGCATCCCAATGTGCTTACGAGTGAGGAGATTGTTTGTTACCAAAATTTGGTTCGACAACCTAACCAAATGCACAAAACCTACAGAATTGGCAAATATCTTCATTAACAATGATAAGTTGTGGCATTTCTTTGCTGGTTTCAACTACTTTAGTCACAATTTTTAACAGCAATGTCCTCTCCAAGGACGTGACCTACGTGTGTGTATGGTGTGGCCGCTATGACTTGTCGCGCACATATTTTGGAGGAATTTCATTTTAATCAAAAAGCCTCAGTTGCCGTGCTGGTTGTGCTAAAACAGAAGAAAATGAAAAATATTTCCTTATGAAGTCCGTGATTGGCGTCCCTCGTTCATGAGGAAAGAAAGGTTGAACCAGTTAAAAGTGACAAAACTAACTTGGACGACAACTGCAAACAACAAATGTGGACAAAGTTGACAGGTTTCAGCTGCGTTTTGGAAATTAGAGCAATCAACTCTTCATCAAACACTCCACGCAGGTTTCAGTAAAATAAATCCCATTTTTTGTCAATATAGATCGAGATGATGACTGAAAGTATTTGTGATTTATTCTTCTCTTCTGTACTAAGGTGAAGCACATGTTACTGGTGGTGTTGGTGGTACTTGCGATGCTTCACAGGGGTGCCAATATGTG